TCCGGCAGGGGTGTCAGGCATGGGCAGGGGACCGCCAGATCCCCACAGTTGCAGGCTCCGCCCCTGCCCAGGCCTAACCCTCTGGCCAAGGCATTAAGCCTGGGTAGGGGACTCCCAGCTCCCCGCGATCTCCCGCTCTGCCCCTGCCCAGGCCTATCGCCTCTGGCCGAGGCATCTGGCCCGGGCAGTGGGGTCCCACAGCTGCAGCAGCCCCGTGATTGTGGGCTCTGCTTTAGGCCCAGGCAAGGGACCCCTAGCTCCCAGGACTGCCAGCTTCGACCGTGCCCAGCTCCCATCGCTGGCTCCACCCCTACTTCCTGCTATCACTGGCCAGGGCAGCAAAGGCGCCTGATTCTCTGATCATGGCTGGGAGGCATTGTCAGTGGCAGGGGGCTTCTTCCTGCTTTCCCTTTTGCCTCCCTGCATTGTGCCTACATATGCAAATTAACCGCCATCTTGTTGGCAGTTAACTGCCAATCTTAGTTGGCAGTTAATTTGCATATAGCCCTGATTAGCCAATGAAAAGGGTAGCGTCGTACGCCAATTACCATTTTTCTCTTTTATTAGTGTAGATACTTATTTTATGTTCCACATACAATTGCAGTATCTGTGACATGCATTTGACAACTTGATAGTACATGTTATGTAAAATTTTAAGAAAAAGCAAATTAGGGATGATAAAACAGGACAGCAGAATTTGGCTCTCTCATCCCATAAACTTGGAGCTCCTGAGAAAAGTGAATCACTTTAGGGAATACTGAAACAAAGTTCTTTAACATGTAGAATGTAGAACTCTTTCAACCATAACTCTAGTTTTCCTTTGGAATCAAGAAGGAACTCATGGCCGAAACCAGTTTGGCTCAGTGGATAGAGCGTCAGCTTGTGGACTGAAGGGTCCCGGGTTCGATTCTGGTCAGGGGCATGTGCCTGGGTTGCGGGCGCGTCCCCAGTGGGAGATGTGCAGGAGGCAGCTGATCGATGTTTCTGACTCTCTATCTCTCTCCCTTCCTCTCTGTAAAAAATCAATAAAATATATTTAAAAAAAACAAAAAAACTCATGGACAGAAAATAGATTAGTGATTGTCAGGGCCTACAGGAAGGGGCAAGTGGGGAGCAACTGCTTAATAGGTATGGGGGTTTGTTTGAGGTAATGAAAAGTTTGGAGGTAGAGAGCAGTGATGATTGCATAATATTGTGTATGTACTTAGTACCACTGATCTGTATACTTCAAAATGGTCAAAATGATAAATGTTATTTTATGTGTATTTTGCCATAATAAATGAAATAAAGAACTCATGAATGCCTCCTAAGCAGCTGTGGAAAACAATTGGTTGCATTCAGTATACACAGGAACAGTCATAGAATTCCAACTACACAACAACTTCAAAGGGAGTCTACAAATCATTGTCATCACAGCCATTCTCTGGGAGTAAGACAATGGGCAGAGCCTAGTCCACAGTGACTTCACAAGCACTCAGCCACCCATACTCCCTGCCCCATCCCCACAACCTTCAAGAATGAAGCACTCAAATACCAACAAGACATATTTCAAATAGTTTAATTTTAAAAATATTCTATTCAGTGCTAAAATATGTCTTCACTCACTGTTGCCCATTTCCATTTCTTAAACTCTTATGAAACAAAAAATAAAATCACGAAGTTCAATTAAACATGCAGATTTTAAAGAAAGGGAATCTTTCTAGAAAGTCTGAGCTGAAGGAGTACTCTGGGGGATGGGTACTGTGGTCAGACTTCAAATTCTTTCTGGGGTTTTGTGGCATGAATGCTGGGGACTGTGGCAGGAGGCAGAGAATGCTGGAATGAAATGTACGGGTAAGAACAGAAAGCTGCATATGTGTGTGGGGGGGAGACAGTTTTCTTTTGGTGGTGGTGGGGGAATTGTCAGCAGCTAGAGAGCCCATGAGAGGCAGGATGACCTCAGAAATGGGCAGAGGTGCCAGGGCAGCAAGAAATCTATATGGACTTCTTTGCCCTCATGTGGAGAAAAGCCCCTTCCTTCCAAAGTCTCTACCTAGGCATCCTCCAATAACGGCCCACAGGGCACCTGGCCCTAAGGGAAAGTCCAGACATCTACAGTCGCCATCAAATTCAAGTAACTCTTGGCGCCCTCTTCTCTAAAGGGCACCTTCCACATCTCTTTCTTCTTATAGAAGCGCCAGCAGCTCAGTCCAGAGGTTCTGGAGCGGAGACTGCTACCTGGAGGTGACAGATAAACCTTGGGATGGCTGATACTCCAGCCTACTTGGGATACAAAGAGGACATGAGCATTCCTCTTCTCAGGAACAAGCAGACATAGGTGCCAGGGAGGGAAGATGATGCAATAACCCCAAGTCCTATGTCAGCCTTCCAGAATAGAAGGCTCCTATGGGCAGGCTCTGGACCCCAGTGCTTGCCCTTAGCCCAGCAACACAGTACAGTCAGAACCAGAATGCAATAAATAGAGGCAGGGGGCCAGGAGGTGAAGGGTGCCAGGATGGTGCTAGCTTTCTGAGGCTGTCTGCGGCGCTGCAGGTTGGTCCACACAGACGCGTTTCAGGGGTGGGGCACCTGAGTCTTCCTCTTCCGTGGCCATCTAGGAGCAGCCAGAACATGGAATTATAGGGCCATCCCTCTGAACCAGAACCTCCCCACCCGTAATTACAGCCCAGAAGCCCAATGCCAATCTTCTCGTAGATAACCAAACATTTTCCCCTACCTTATAACCTGGAGACACTAGTTTTCCTTGCTGCTTCCCCACTCTACTAATTTATAGCACCTTCAACACAATATATGCAATTCACAGCAATGAAGTCCTTCCTTTTTCCTTAGAAACTAGGAAGCCCAAAGTGCCTCCTTACTTGTGTCTCCAGTGGAACTGGTTCTTCCTTCGTGAGGGTGGGAGGTTCATCAGCCACTTCTGAGGCAGGCAGGGAGGGCTCTGAAAAAGCAACAAGGTCAGCAGAACGGCAAGGCCTCCTGACGCAGGAGACTCCTGTAGAATCTTCCTTAAAGTTGGGGAAGCTTCCCTAAGGCTATCTAGAAGTGCCTTGGTGAAGAGGCAACAGTGGCTGAAGAATCAACATACAGTTCTAGCTGGTTTGGCTCACTTGGTAGAGCGTTGGCCTACGGACTGAAGGGTCCCGGCTTCGATTCCAGTCAAGGGCACATGCCTGGGTTGTAGGCTCAATCCTCAGTGGGGGGCATGCAAGGCAGCCAATCAATGATTCTCTCTCATCATTGATGTTTTTTATCTCTCTCTCCCTTCCTCTCTGAAATCAATAAAAAAAATATATTTTTTAAAAAGAATCAACATGCCAAAACCAGTTTGGCTCAGTGGATAGAGTGTCGGCCTGCGGACTGAAAGGTCCCGGGTTCGATTCCAGTCAAGGGCATGTACCTGGGTTGCGGGCACATCCCCAATAGGAGATGTGCAGAAGGCAGCTGATCGATGTTTCTCTCTCATCGATGTTTCTAACTCTCTATCTCTCTCCCTTCCTCTCTGTAAAAAATCAATAAAATATATTAAAAAAAAAAAGAATCAACATACATAGAAACAATATATAAGAAGAAATTCACAGGAGATGATGCAAAGAGAATAAACTCTGAAGTGAGAAGGAATATAATTAGAGATACCCACGCTACCAGTTACTATGTGATCTTTGATAAACAATTAAAACTTTCTAAGACTCCACTTCTTCATCTGTAAAATGGAGATAATAGCGTCTATTTCAAGGATTTGGGAGAGAATTATACCAGGTGTTAAATATTGAAAGTGCCTCACACAGATCCTGGCACTCACTTGTGTTGTTTGTTTTCCTCCTTCATTCTGTAAGGGAAAAATACAACCATTCTCCAAGTAGCCCAAACTGTTAACAAATAGCTTGAGATGCCAGACTCTGTGGCATTTTCTCTATCCACTTACTCCAAAAAAGAAAAACATCAATAGCAAGAGGCAAGGCCCCTCCAAGATGCTCGTCCTGACTTACCCTCAAGGATCTCCTGGCCCAGAGTAGGGGGCTGGGAGTCATCTGTGCGGAAGTCAGAGGTGTGTGCTGGGCTCAGGGACTCGCTCTGCTGGGGACTGGGGCTTGAGTTGGTGCTGCTGTCCACCTTGAGTTGATAGACATCAGACACAGAACTCTGGTTGCTGTTTTCATCTGAAAACCAAACATGACAAAGGCAACAGCTGAGGGTGGTAATTATTCCTCAAGAGTAACTCTGGTGTCTTCTTAGGCAGCCATAGACACAACAGGTACAATGATCACTGATGCAGATACACTCTGAACCAAAGGCAGAGGTTCACGGGACTTCTATGCACTGCAAATTATCAACAGAGTCTAAGTTGATTAATTTAAACATTTCCTATTTCACGACATATTCTAAGCACCAGGTGCAGCTAGAATTTTCAAATTTATGCAACATGTATATTTCAGGAAGATCAGGATACAGTTAATTATTATCCACCATTTATAGCTTAGACCCTGTATTTTCTTATTGTCCAGTGGAAGAGATGGACAGTATGCCTCTCAACCTTTCTCACAACACAAGATACGTAGAAAATGATAAAAATCTGTCTGGCATTCTAGGCTGTCTGAAGGAGGAGGATGGTTGTGTCTGGAAGTATTCAGCTCAGATCCTTTAGTGGTCTAGGTTCCACCCGAAGCCTCAAGGACCAAACGAATCCCACCTGGGAAGCTGTCTGAAGGCTTGAAATCACCACCTAAGTTAGAAATAGTTAAAAAACACGGGAGTTGTGTTCATTCCTTCCTCTCCTGGTGGCTTAGTTCAGGCCTAGCCTCCAGCAAAAGCCACCTAACTGCCCTTCCTTCAATACCATGTACTTCCACTGTACTTCACACCTCTGCCAGCATGATATTTCTAAACCCTTCAATGGTTGCCTGCTGCCAAAACAATAAAATTCAAATCCTAGTGCTTCTCTGGACAGGGAGAAGATGGCCCTATCATAACGTACAAAGTCCTTTCTCATCTCCAGTCTCACTCCCTGTTGTTAGTCCACACCAAGCTGGACCCTCCGCAAAGAGCTGCTTCATGCACAGGTGTCTTTCTTATTCTTTCTAGCCTTTTTGGAAAGCCCAACATTTATACAGGCCAACACTGAGCTCAAGCATAATGTCCTCCACATTTCTCAAGCTCTGTTGAGTAAAAATGACCACCTTCTCTTTTATGCTCCTGTAGTATCCTGTGCACACCTGAGTTTACTATTTTACACACCAGTTTCCTTCAATTATACTCTGTGCAGATAGGCTCTGTGGCTTATTGGGCCTTGAATTTCTTCAAGTGCATAGTACCTGGCATACAGTAGGAGTTCATTAAATGTTCACTGAATGAAAAGGATGAAATGATGGTCAGACTGAGAAAGGGAGCCTCATATATGTCTCCTAGAGTTCTACAGTTATTGAATACCCCACACATAACTAAAAAACCTTTTTCTTGTATTCCTTCATATATCACACTGACCCTGGGGCGGGACAGAGGGTTGGGGGAAAGGTCGGCAGGGGATATCTGCATGCTCCCAGACTAGTTTTGAAGAGAAAATTGTAAGTCCTTTCTAGTCTTCACTTCTACGAAGACCACAATCTTCTATGCTAAAATGAAAGTTGCATTTTATTATAAAAAGAAAACAAAGCTCTAAAAAAAATAAAAGAAAAAAAGTAAGAATAAAGCTTTGTCACTTTTGAACTTAGGCGAACACTTTTTTTCTCCAAACATCATTTCCTTAACTAGGGATGATGGTAACTGCCTGGTTTATATCACAGGCTGATGTCAGGATAAAAATGAGAAACTGAAGTGAAAGTGCTTCACAAACAGTAACTGCCACGTAGGTGTAAGAGGTCACATCATGAATGCGGTCCTGACACAGGCAGGACCTTCACTGAAGATTGATTTAAGAAGCAGAACTTGTGCCAACAGGGATAGGTAGACGCCCTAGCTTTGGGTGTCCCACTCTCAGGTACTATCACAAAGTATACCGTCTAAAGAAAAGAGCTTCTGATCCAGAAAACCAGGAATTAATGTGGTTTGTCACTTACTAGTTATGTTACTTTATATATGTAACTTCACCTCTCTGAGCCTGTTTCCTTAAATGGAAAATAAGGATACTATCATCCATCTTGCAGGGCTACTGTGAAGTATAAAAGGGAAGATTTATGTATAGTGCCTAGCAAGATACCAGCAAAACAGTAGGCACTGAAATTATACATAGAACTATTCTTATTATTAATGGGTTCATCTAAATTTTCATTTTCCTGCAAGGAAGACATATGGATGCAACTCACCCTGGAATTCAAGAAGGAGAGAGGAATTGTCTGAACCATTCGATTTTGACTTTTCTTTCTAGAAAAGGAAAAAAAGAGGGATATGACAGAGCCAACCAGGAGACTTGCAGAGATAGAGAAGGGTGCTTTTTGAGACACCACAGAGGTCTGGATTAGGACTGAACAGGAATAATGACAGTGGCTTTGAGAATCCAGGGCCGGAGGCATAATGGAATCCTGGACAAGGTGTTCGCAAGTCTTAGTGTCTGTATCTGTAAAATGGACCCTTCCAGCGCTAATATCATGAATCAAAAGTAAAAGATAGACATATATACTTCCACTAGATTTCCCTGTGGTACCCTTCTGCTTTCTGCCCTGATCAGAATTTTCGATTCAACCCTTCCTCATGAGGATAGGTGAGAAGCACAAAATATTAATTTCGAAAAAGATTCCTATTTTAGTAGCACAGCAGGGAAAAAAAAGTAAGTGAAAGAAGAATGGACCTCTGACTGGAAAAAGGAGTCATTTATATGTAACGTAAGAAGTTATGGGACAAAGGGGCCCCTGCTAGCTCTATTCCTCACCAAAAAACCCATCCATTCAAAATGTTCACCCTACTTCAATCTTTACCTATAACATCATTCCCTTCAAGCAGGATGTAGGCTACACATGTTAGGGAACCACAGTGGAAAGATGAACTAGCCTGCAACAAGCCCACAGGAAAGGAAATTTGCAAATGACAGCATCCCAACAGCCCAAAGTTTAAATCTGGTCATTTCAAATTCACTAATTCATACTGTTCATCATGTCTCTTTATTGTACATGCATTGTACTACTAATACAATTTTTTGTTCATAACTGTCAATCCTATCTCTGCAATAAATCAACTGTACAATTTATGCATGTCCTTCCCTTCATTTTTTCCTATACAGACATAATTTTAGTGTAATTACACTTGACCATTTTACTACAAAAGCTACATAAAAATGTTTTTAATAGCTGCATAATATTCCATATACCATAATTCACTTAATAACTTCTCAACTATTAGACATTTAGCTTTAACTTATTTAGGATTGTGTTTATTTATTGTTACTAGAAATAAAACCACAATGCTAAACATTCATTTTCCCCTGGATTATTTTATTGAGATAAAATTCACACAAAAATATTCCTTCTGGGTCAGAAAATATAATCATATTACTTTCCTTGAAATACACTGTACCCCACTACTCTCTGAAAGGGTACTAGTTTCACAGTACCCATGCCAACATTTGGCTTTATCATTATTTTTTTTCTGATCTTTATTTTCTCTTCATTTTAATGATTCTATTTTCTTTCTTTTTTTTTTTAATATATTTTATTGATTTTTTACAGAGAGGAAGGGAGAGAGATAGAGAGTTAGCAACATCAATCAGCTGCCTCCTGCACACCTCCCTCTGGGGATGTGCCCGCAACCAAGGTACATGCCCCTGACTGGAACCGAACCTGGGACCCTCCCGTCCGCAGGCCGACGCTCTATCCACTGAGCCAAACCGGTCAGGGCTTTAATGATTCTATTTTCATGTAAAATACATACTTCACTGTAGGGAATTCTGGAAGTACAGAAAAAAAAAAAAACACCGAAAACCAGGGACAACCTACACATATATTTGTGTGAAAATGGGTCATATAACTTACTTCCCCTTCCTCATTCACTGCATTAAACATTTCTCTATGCAACTGAGTAATCTTCTACATCTTTTTTCATTCTTATTTATTCATTTTTATATTTTTTTATTGATTTCAGAGAAGGAGAGAGAGATAGAAACATCAATGATGAGAGGGAATCATTGATCAGCTGCCTCCTGCACACCCTACACTGGGGCATATACCCTGACCGGGAATTGAACTGTAACCGCCTGGTTCATAGGTCAAGGCTCAACCACTGAGCCATGCCGGCCCGGCTACATCTTTTTTATAATGGTTACAAAGATTTACAAAATACAGGTGCACAATAACTTAACTTATTTAATGAATTCTGTACAGTAAGTTCTCTTTTTTTATATATGTATATGTTTTCATGGATTTTTAGAGAGGAAGAGAAAGGGAGAGAGAGAAACATCGACTAGGAATTGAACCAGTGACCTCTTGGTTCATGGGCCCATGCTCAACCACTCAACCACACTAGCCAAGCTACATTAAGATCTTTATTTTGCTTGCAATTTGAAACACTATAAACAATGCAGTAATGGTGAACGTTTGGCTTTATCATTAGGTATATTTAAGCATATTTTATACACATATGATTATCTCCTGAGGATAAATTCCTAGAGATAAAACTTGCATATTTAAGGAATGAATATTTAAAACTTTTTACCCCTTCTGTTTTACTGAGTCAGTTATACATGACAAATAAAACTGTAAGATATTTAAAGTGTACATAATGGTGACTTGATATACATATAGGGTGCCCCCCCAAAAAAATACACACACACACACACACACTCTGAATAATTATAAAGGCAGTGTTTAGTAAAGTAAATTTTACATTCAAAACTGAGCTATCAGCTGTTAAAGTGTGCACACATATTTTTGGGACACACTATATACATTTGTGAAAGGATTCCAACAGTCTAATTAATTAACACATCCAGCACTGCAAGCTCTTATGATCAACATGACCTGTAAAGTTTGTGCCAATTAACTCTCCCATCAGCAGTGAGTGTCCCACTCCCTGTATCCTTCATAATTTTTTCTTTACCAATTTGATCATCATTTTCCATTTTTCCTAATCCAACAGGTCTATGCTAGTACCTTAGAAGATGGCACACCGCCATGAATCACTAGAGGGCAGATAAACTGATGGACCTCTGGGCCCAGCTCAGAAAGCAACACAAACACTGCAAGAAGCCCTCAAGAGAGACAAAGGGAGCTGAGTCCCAGAGAGAATCTGAATAGGAAAAGACCAGGGACTTAAATGGGAAGAGTTGGGGGTGGGAGTGGGGGTGGAGGGGTTGATTCTAGCAGTAATGGCCTCATAGGTGCCAGGGATATATGAAGAATAAAGAGTGGCTCCATAGCCCTCCTAACATTTACCTTGGGCTTGGCAATGACAAGGGAGGATGGTTGCTCCTATATTAATGTAGCACATGGAAGAATGGTACCAGGGAGTTCCCTGGGAGGCAGGGAAGATGGCAGAGGGAACTCCATCCCTTAAATTCATTTACAGGAGGGAAACCAGAGTTTAGGCTTATATACTCCCTCAGTTACATATTATTTTAGCCAAGGCAAAGTAGAGTCCCAAGGGAATAAAAGGTAAGTGTACAGAAAACACTAACCAGATATTGGAGGATAACAAGCACCATGAAAGACAATAAACAGAACAAGCTATACCAGAATGGCAATGGCACAGAAGAATTTAAATAAAACACATAGTGAGTCTGCTCACATGGATAAGGATGATACTGAAAAGTTGTTTGGAAGAAGAATCAATACAGGAAATTGGTATAATTGTTCAAAATAAAAAGTAAATGAGTTTGGTAGCAGAAATAGATATAGTTTAAGAAAGGATTAAGGAGTAAAAACTGGGTTGGGAAATGAGGAAAAAATAGCGAGATGAAATAAATGAGAGAAAAGTTCAGAAATAAAGAAGCTAGATATGGAGAAACCAAGATGGTGGCATAGGTAAACACCGGAGTTTGCTGCTTCACACAACCACTTCAAAAATACAACTAAAAGACGGAATGGCCATCACCCAGAACCACAGGAAGGCTGGCTGAGTGGAAATTCTACATCTAGAAGGAAAGAGAAAAGCATCCTGAGACTCAGAGGAGGTGCAGTGCGGAAGTAAACTACTAAGGTACAAAGGCGCACTCGGAGTGGGCTGGCGGCTGAGGGTGTGGTTGTCTTTTTTCAATCGGGAGGGAGTCTCAGGCTCTGAGCTCCAGTTCTGGGCTAGTCTCTGGGGACCCAGACTCAAACGGGAGAAGCGGGACTGTCTGGCATCGGTCGGAACTGGAAGGCTGCTTTCTCA